AATGACTTTTAATATCTCATGTCGCAGCAAAATTAAAAATATACAAAAAGTTTGTGGTGTACAAAAGAGTCTCAGTACAGAAGCCCCAGCTTGGGGTCTCCTCCCCCTCCTGGGGGAAGCGCAGAGGGGTGAGTGGGGGCGGGGGACTAAGGACGGCACAGATGTAGTAAATACCAGGAGGTGGGACCAGGAATGGGAAACAGAAGTGGGCAAGGGTGGGGGCCGACTAGGGAGGGAAGAAAGAACCTGGAGGGGAGAATCACCCGGAATTGTGCTGAGGGAGGGAAGTCAGCCCCTCAGTCATGGCTAGTGATTCCTGGAGTTGGAGATAGAATGGAGGGGAAAGCATCAGTGCTGGGAATGTTCTGGTGGGACCCCGAAGGATCTGGGTTCTGGGTTCTGATCCCACCCTGCCACCAACTGGCCCAGTGACCTTGGGCAGGCCGCCTCTGTGGGTCTTCCCCCTTCAGTAATACAGGATGCTGGATGAGTAAACCAGATTCCCAACTTGGGGATCCCTAAGGATCGGTGGAGGCAGGAATGGAGGTGTGTGAGTGCTCTTGAGAATTGTGTGTTAAACACTCCAATATAATACAGACATTCCCCCACCCTCAAGCCCTAAAAGCTAACTTGAGGCCTTGGTAGCATTTATCTACAATCATAAGCTCAGCTTGAGTTAATTTAATGTGGGAAGATGAATTATTCTTCAAGAAGTGAGGCTTGTTTGGAAGAAAAATCTCCCAAATTATAAGAGGGGGCTCTGGGAATCATTCAGGTCCTGTCTAGCTATTTTACTAGTTTGGAAAACCAAGGGGGTTAGTTGGGGGCTGTGTTTATCTGACAGCACCCTCCCTCCCCCTACCAAGTTCGGTGGGTTAGCCCAATGGAGACAGGTCTGGTTTGGGTTCTGGGATATTTGGGTGAGAGAGATGGAGAAATATCCCCCCCACCCCCCCACCCCCCACCGCCCTCCTCCCCCACTTTTGTCTCAGGCTACCCTCCACTCTGGGATTATTGCAGGTGCCCCAGGGCCCCCACCCCTTCAGCCAGGCCTGGGGGGTGCCCTTACAATGATTGTGCATAGAAAAAAGGCCAGGACTGCTGGGGAGAGGGCAGCACCCACCTTGCTGTGATCAGGGAAGGGTGGATGGGGCCAGGCATTAGAGGACCAGTCCTCTCCCCACTGGGGAGTTTTCTGCCTCCAGGAACCAGGCCATTCCTGAAAGGGGCGTTTCCCTTCCCACTTCCACAGTTTGCTGTTCTTCCTCCCCTTGCCTCCACATGCAGCAGTGGAGGACCCAGGAATGTCCTAGCCCCACCCCAACCGGAATGGCACGTTACAGTCCCTTTGCCCCACCCCAGGCCCAGGGGCTTGTTGGGGAGAGGGGGCTCAGCCACCACGCCCGCTGCTGCCCAGGTGGCTTGGCACTCATTTGGTCCCTTTCAATGAGACCTCACAAAGCATATCAGTATAGAAATTTTTAGCTCCTCCTCCTGCAGGCCCTACCTCCAGCTTTATTTGGGAGGGAGACAGGGGCCAAAGGGTGACAGGGGCCAGGACGAGATGGGGGTAGTTGGGTCTTGGTTTTCAGTCCTTATCTTCTCCCTGGACTCTCCCTTCACACATCGCAGTTCCTCCTAACCAGGGGCCCCGACACTGGAGAAGACCGCAGCCTCTAAATTGCCCCCTTCAGGCATGGAGGGGCCTCTAGCCCTTATCAGATGATGGTTTCCCAGGCAGGGACCCTGTGAAGGCCCAGGACTCCCTCCCCTTTCCACTTCTCAGATGAAGGGGGGAGGACAGCTCTCAGGTGGTCAGTTGGTGGGGGTTTAAAAAAGTCTCAGAGGGAGTCAGGGCCTCTGCCTTTGACTTCCTCAGAGGGGTTATCGGACTCTGCACGGCTTCCTAGAACCTTCTCAACATTTGGAACCAGAGATCTCACACTGGTGGCCCATGGGCCAAATCTGAGATTAGTTTGGCCAGCACAGGGTTTTTAAAAAATGTGAGCTTTAGGTCCTATCTGTCGGCAGGGACAGGCACTCCCCTGTTTTCCAGAGTCCCCACCACTCTCTATAGTATAGCACTTGCTCTTCCCTCATTTTCTCATTACCTGAAGGCATCTGAACTTGCAACCCATACACCCGTCTGGGAAAACCTCCTCACTGCCTACGGTTTCCGTGAACTGCAGGCCCAGGTGAATTCCAAGGGAAGGATGTGGGACTTTAGCCCTGAAGAGGGCACTGCGTTGCCAGGTAAGAGCTTCCCTAGCTACCTCCAGCCCCCTTGGCCCTCACCAGGTCTCGCCCTCCCTGGCCTCTGCTTTACCCAACTCTTATGGTGACACGCCTCTGTGGGACTCCGTGTAGCAGGGAGCCAGCTGGGGGTAAGACAGATCTGGGGGAGACACAAGGGTGGGGCAGATGAGAGGAGACCAAGAAAGCCTCTTCCTGTGGGGGAGCCCCTGCCGGGGAGGGGTGGAGGGCTGTGCTGTCCAGTCGGGGTGACGGTTACAAGGCACATGGTTTATCAGTGCATGGAGGTGTGATGAGGGTATGCAGTGCCTGGGAGGTTTGGGGAGCACAGTCAACAAGCGGGGGGATCAGTTCAAGAAAACTGGGAGACAGAAGTCTCTACCCTGAAAATGGGGACAATGTCTCCTGCGGGTCGAGATACTGAGGGCGAATTTGGTACTCAGTGTCCTGTTCTCTTCCCGGCAAAATTAAGATGGACCCGACTACCTCTCAGCTCCAGGAAAAGCCTTACTCTGCCACTGAACTTCTGTGTGATCTTGGGCAAGTCCCTGGCTCTCTCTGGGCCTCCATTTTTCCTCTGTAATAGATGCGGAGGGCAGGTAGCTTAGGGGACCCCAAGGGTCCCTTTGGGCTGTGGTTCTGGAATATTCTCTCACTGCAAGGACCCTATAGGGATTCTGGGAAGGACCAAGCAGCCAGGCCGGGGTGCAGGACAGAGAATGGGGAACAGGAGGCAGGGACCCAGCGGGCCCCATTCTGGCAGGGAAGAGAGGGACTGGCTGAGGTAGATTGTGTCACAGAAAAAAAACCACAAATGGGATGGTGCCCCTTCCCCACTCTGACTCCTCTACCGCAGTGAAGCAAGAGGACCGACAGGGACCACAGATGAAGTGGGGGATAGGCCAGTGGAGAGCATGACCTCAGGACAGGAAGGGATGGGGTCCTGAGCTCCTGGGCATATGGGTGTGGGAGGAGGGGGGTGGTCCTTGGAGGCTAAGCTCTTTCCTGAGGGTGAGCAGCAGGAGAAGGTGCCTGCGGCCTCTCTGAGGGCCCTTGACTGTGGCCATTTCCAGGGCTTGGTTGTCCTTGCAGGCAGAGGCCCTGAAGACGGGTTTTGTGGGAGAGAGATGTGGGGGGTGGGGATGGAGGAAGGTCCAAAAATGTGGCCCTGGTTTCCCTGAGAGCCTCATGCCACATCTTAGCACTGCCGGCTCATTCCTATTCCCTGGTTCTCTGGTGGCTTCTGGAGCTGTAAGGACTCCCAGCTCCCAGGGAGGGTATTTTTAACTTTTCCTTCCTGAATGCTGGCTAATGGGGCAGCCAGATGGGCCATTTGAAGACACTGGGGAGTAAAATAACTTGCCAAGGCTGACCCTTATGTCACTTCTCTGAGCCTCAGTTTCCTCCTCTGTAAGCTGGGGTGCTAAGAGCTCTCTTGTAGAGCTGTCGCAAGCAGGAGGGAGTTAAGGGGAGAAGCCGTCAGCTGGACCTGGGTCTGCTTCCCCAGTGTTGTCGCCTCACAAAGGGCTTTAACGTGTAACTGGCCATGGAATTGGGTCTCTGGAGACAGATTTGGGTAGAAGACAAGGTGGCTGGATGAACCCACCAGAGGGGGTCTGGGTCAGCCCCAGACCTCCTCCGCCACCCTTCACCTCAGACCTGGTTCCTGAGGCTTCTTAGGGGTTGGGGAAGTAGAAGAAAGAAAGTAGTAAAAGCATTCTTTGTGTGTTGGTGGGTGGGACGCACACACCATCTGGGCCCGTGTGGATGTCTATGCAGTCGCCTGTGTGCCAGAGGGGTGAGGTGACTTCTCTCACGTGCATATGTGTATGTGTATGTGTATGTGTGGGCAGTCCTGCCCTCTCTGCCTTTGGGGTCACCCTGCACCTTGAATGTGGCCCTCTCCTTGTATCCTCAGTAAATTCATTTTCACCCATTACTATCTGATGAGACAGGAGGATTCTGGGACCCGTGAGACTAGCTGCCACACTGGGCCTCAGTTTCCCCGTCACCCAAGGGAGGCTGAACCTGAGAGGGCAAAGTGCCTCTCTGATTTGCATAGTCTAGGATTCTCATGGGCCTCCTCACCCCCAGCCCAGGTCTGCAGCTGTCCTTAATATTGCCTGCTGTGCCCTTGTAATGAACACTACTTGGTTGTCATGGGGGAGTAGGGACATGGGGGGGGTGGTTCCAAGCTGTTTAGAGGCTCTGTCCCCTCACTCCACAGAAGTGCCTGCTTCTCCGCTCCCATCCTCCCCTATCCAGAACTGGCTGTCCCAGATAAAGAGGAGGGGCCGTGGGCAAGTGGTCCCATGGGCACCCCAGGATGTTTGGGGATAGACTACAGGTTCTAGAGATCTGTCAGATCAGAGGCAAAACAAGTCAGTTTTCCAGCTGCTATCCCAGACAGCTGCATCTGCAGGGTGGCTGAGAGCCAAGATTTATGTCATGTCCCCAGAGCTAATTGTTTTCAGCTGGAAAAACCAGTTGGCAGTTGAAATGTCTCAAGGGTTGTGAGGACAATTTCCTCTGGGGAAGATGGCTGTGGACCAAGGTGGATGGGGCATAGAACTCCTATAAACCCCAGAAATCGAGAACGGGAGGACCCGTTCCTAGAATATTCCACTCACCTGGGGCTCTAGAGCCCCCTCCCCGACCCCCATGTCAGGAGCTAGAATCTCCCAGAGCAGAATAGCAGGGCTCCAGTGCCTTCACCCTCATCACAGAATCCAGATCAGAGTGACCCTCTAGCACATTTTTATCAGCTAAGTGTTCTAAAACTTAATCCAGAATTAAGAATGTCTCTCTGGAACGGTTTCTCTGCTAAATGTGCTAGAACCTCATGTATAACGGAGCCAGCGTATCTTCCTAGACATTTTATCTGTTGTATGCAAGACCTTTATCTAGAAGAAATGTTCTAGATACTCATCTAGAACAAAGAATGGCTCCTGGAAACATTTCACCTGAGGTGTCTGGAACCTCATCCATAATAGAGCCCACAACAAAGGGTGTCTCCTGACAAGTTCACTTTGGGAACATCCTCTATGTGGTGGATTGAGGGTTCCCCTCCCCCAAACCTGCTATCCCTTCGTGCTCCCGCTGGCCTACACCCCTCAGTTGCCTCAGGGTTCTTCCTCCTCTCCAGCTGCAAGCACTGTCAGCCCCCACCCCAACTCCCCACCCCACCCCAACTCCCTCCTTTAATTCCCCTCTTGCCCAGGCTCCGGACCTCGGACCCCACAGGAACTGTACCAACCTTGTCGACCAGATGCTCCCACCTCCCCTCACATCTTCCACTGCCTCCTCCATCCTTCTCGGAGATCTCTCCCCAGAGAGGCAGCCCACCCCCCACACCCCCTGAGGAACACAGGGCCTAGGTCATGGACCCCAGCCAGTGCCCTGTCTCTGGCAGGTCCACCAGGAGCAACATGTGGGTGACTCCAGGCAGGGGAGAGGGTGGGGTGCCCCGGCACCAGACACATATGGAGGCCTTCATGAAAATGGGGCAGCTAATGAGGAGTGTAGCACCAGTTGATTCCCTGGGCCCTAGTTCAGGGGAGTTTAGGAAATGGGCCACAGGGCTGAAAACAGGGCCTAGGGCTGGGGCCTCCACAGGGCTGTCCCCTCCCCTGAAAGAACCCAATGGTGGGCCACTCTACCCTTGGACCAACAGATCCACACCCCTTTAGCTGGGTGGCCCTGAAATTCCGGGCTCAACACTGTGGTTGGTGTGGGGTCAGCCAAGCCTGTCCCTCTTTGTGGGGGAGACTGTGGCCTACACCGTGGTCTCGTACTCCAGCAGCTCCTGGGAGATCCCCACGCTCCGGTACTGCAACCGAGGCGTGGCAGGAGAGGCGTACTCCAGCGCCAGAATGGTCTTCCGGAGCCGGCGGTCGATAAAATGAGCATCCCAGGCAGGGTACTTCTTCCGGGGCAGGTCAATCCGAATGACCGGCCCTTCTGTCCGCAAAGGGCGAGCCACTGGTGTGGGAGGCAAGCCAGGCCGCACCTGGAAGACGGGTGGCGTGGGGGTCCCTGCACGCTCGCCCCCCACTGAGGCCCCATCCCTCTCAGCGCCTGTAGTCCTTGGCAGGGATCTTGGGGGACTTGTGACGGCGTCGGCTGGTGGGCCACAGGGCCCTGGGGACTCCGGGCAGATGCAGCCAGGCGCCTGGGGACCCAGCATGGGCCCGTTGGGGTGCAGGAGGCAGTAGTAGACACACATGAAGAAGATGCCCAGCGCGAAGCTGGAGGCCACCACACAGACCAGGATGAGCGAGCGGAAGTCGGTGGAGAAGTTGCGGCTGGAGTACCAGAAGCCAGTGAGCGCGGCGTTCTCAAGCAGGACGATGCAGTAGTAGAGGGCCATGCGGCGGCGGCTGCGGCCCTCCTTGACGTTGAACCAGCAGAAGATGTAGATGATGCCCACCACCATGTTGTAGATGATCTCCTCCCACTTAGACATGCAGAAGTCTGTCTCGCCCTGGATGACCCAGAAGGTCATGACGCACCAGTGGGCCACGATGAAGATGCCAAAGTAGAGCTTGTAGACGCTGGCAAAGAGCGCGAAGGCCAGACTGCGAGCTGCAATGGTGAACAGGTGCCACAGCACCTGGGCCACGGCGCCCTTGTAGGACAGTGGCCGCTTGTCGTCCCGTGAGTCCCGCAGCACCTTCTGGTAGGAGGCCAGCGTCCAGGCCAGGGACACGAGCGAGGCAGAGGTGGACAGGGCTGCAGAGACAGGGTGAGGGTGGGGTGGGCTGGGTTAGGGGTGGGTCCGGGTCAGGGTCTGGGGAGAGGGGGACGGTTCTGGGTCAGGAGCTGGGTTCTGAGGAGGTGTGAGGGAAGGGTCTATCAATCAGGAGGGCTGTGGGGCGGGTCTGGGTGGGCGGTCTTCCAGAGCAATGACGGGAGCAGGGAGAGCGGATGGGGCTGGGTACTTCTGTAGGAGCGGGAGCATGAAGGAAGAGGGAAGGTGGGTGACTTTGGTCTTCATAAGGGTCAGGGCCAGGTCTCTAGACTAGGGATGTCAGGGTTCAGGGGTCTTGGTGTGAGGGTGGGAAATTAGGGTCCAGGATTCTGGGAGTGAAAAAGAAGGTGAAGAGTCGGGGGTGGGGTCATGATTAGGGCATGGAGGAGCCAGGAGGGGACTGTTAGTAGCTATAGGCCACCAGGGTGAAGCTGGGGGGCGGAGAGGGGTATCCAAGCTGAGACATGGGAAGACATCTGCGGTGGGAAGTTCTGACTGGGGCCCACAAGGGGTCCTGAGGGGCCTGAGAGGTGGTGATAGAATCTCCTGGGTCATTGAAGGTGGCCCGGACAGTGTCTGGGTGGGAGGAGCTTGGGGGACTCCCAGGATGTGGTGTTTCTCTGACAGGGAAGGGGTTGGCCTGGTCTGTCAGAGTCAGGGGAGGGCCAAGGTTGGGGGAGGACTAAGCCTGGGAGGAGTCCTTCCCCAGGGAGTAAAGACCAGTGAAAGGGTAGATAAACAGGCTCTCTGGAGACTGAGGGTGACTGAGCAGGTCTGTGAGTCAGGGCTGCCCCCGGGAGGATGCAATCTGGGATCAGGACAGTTTGGGGAATGCAGGGCCGGGCCTGAGGTGTGGCGATGGGGTCAAGGGCCTCTTTGGACTTAGCAGAAATGGGGTCTGCTCTGCCCTGGCAAGGGGGAAGGGAGGAGGGTGAGAGCGGGGAGCACCCACGGGTCCCAAAGGGAGTCAAGCAGGTGGAGGGACCAGAGCCCCCCCCCCACAGGAGGGTAAGTGGGCCGCTGGAGGGGACATGGGGGTCTCCAGAGGCCTGGAGGGCGGTGAGAGTGGGGGGGGCTCCAAATCCCCGACAGCGAGCGGGCCGGAGTGGGGGTGGTAGGAAGGCGGGGCCCCCCTGCAGCGGACTGCGGTGGAGGAGTGAGCCCCCGGGGCGAGGGCGCGTGGGAGGGCGGAGCTCACCCGGCAGCAGGTCGGGCTCGCTGCCGCGCTGCACCAGAAGGCTGAGCTGCAGCACGAGCTGCGGCGCGCTGCGCAGGAAGGTCTCCAGCAGGCGCAGCATGCTCACGTCCGCGCTCTCGAACAGCATCCGCCAGTAGAAGTGGCGCCGCAGCCGCTCCCCGCGCCAGCGGCTCTGCAGCCCCAGGTACAAGGCGCGCAGGTACCTGCGGGAGGACGCAGTGCTCAGGCCCCCGCGCTCCCGTCCCCCTAGCGGCTCTGCGGGTGCCCCCGGCCGGCAGGCGAGCGCCGGGGGCGGGTGCGCCGTGTGTCTTTGCTCACCGCGCCCAGCAGAGCCGGTGTCCTCGGCTGTAAAATAGGCATATCGGAACGATCGCCTCCAGGGCTGTCGTCCGGGAACTCTGAATGGGTTCATTAGCGTAAAGCACTGGCACAAAGTAAGCCCTGAATTCAGCATACCGTCATTCTTGTTCCGGGGCCTGCTTTCTTTGCAGGATTCCTGACACCTAACAGTGCACTGAGGTTCCCCTAGCCCCGCTATTGTCCTCACTTTATAGATGAGGGAACTTGAGACCCAGAGAGGTATGCCACCTGTCCAAGGTCACCCAACGAGGAAGCAGTGGAACCAGGATTCCAACCCAGGTAGCCTGGTTCCTTCAAGAACAGTCCCTGGTGCCAACCCCCAGCTTCCTGGCCTGTTCCCCAACCCTACTCCAGCCCCACCCCTGGTAACTCCTCCTTTTCTTCCAAGGCTCAGCTTTTAAACGTGACCTTTTCCAGGAAGCCTCTGCTGACCACTTTCCACCTGGGGTAGGGACCTCTCCAGACAGGCTTCTGTCTAACCCACAGTGGGCTGTGACTGCCTGCATATGCATCCATCTCCCCCAGACTGGGAACTCTGTGAGGGTGACTAGGTCAGCTCGCTAACTGCTGTACCCTCAGTTCTTAGCACGCAGTAGCTGCTCAATCCCTGCTGGCTCAAAGAGTGAATGCAGGCATGACGGCAAGTTTGTTTGAACTGAATGGAGCTCTGGTCACCCAGTAGGGGGTATGGAAGGGATTCTGAAGTCCTGAGTTCAAGTACCGACTTCACTTCTAATTTACTGTGTGCTCTTGAGCCAGACCCTCTCTGAGCCCTAGTGAATCCCTCCCGAAGTGGCTGTGAGGATGAAATGGATTTGAAAATGCTCTGCACCTATAAAGTGCAGTGCCTGTGTAGGATGAGAAGAGGCCTGCCACCCAGAACTCCTCTCTGCCTTGGTTCTTTGCCCAGCAGCTCTGCCCCGGGCTGTTGCAGCCATAGACCCTGCCCCCCCAACCCCCGAATTCTCTGATTCATGGGGGCAGGCACACCCTTTGCTGAAACCAGAGAGTACTCCTCTAGGAGTTATCTCCCCAGAAATCAGGGAAGAAAATCCCAACACAGATTCAGTGATCCTATTACTTGAAGCTGAGATCGGAGAACCAGGTATTTGGGGGTCTACTCCCAGATGTGAGGTGCTGGCATTTTTAAGATGTGGTTTGGGAACCTCGGGACCGACTGTATTCAACTGTGCGTTGCCAGCCCAAGAGAGGAATCACAGTACTCCCTGGAATTTGGGATCAGCTGATACCCAGAGTTTCCCGGAATGAGTATCCCAGTCATAGGAATGGTGTGGTCCTCCCTGGGACTCAGTTTCTCTATCTGCAACAAGAAGGATGGGCTTAATGACTCTGGAGATCCTTTTAGAGCTAACGTTCTGGGACTCCCCTCCCCAAAACATGGCTAGAAACATCCCATTCAAGGCCCTCCTCCCCATCCCTGGGTCTTCCCAGCACCAATCAATGGTGTAAACACACCTTCAACATGACACCGTGTGGGACCAGCCGCTGGGAAGGGGAAGAGGGCTGCTCCCTCAGAAGCAGAAGCAACAAAAGCAAAAGCCCCTCAGTCCAACTCTCCCATCCAATGCTAGAATTCCTTCAGCAAATCCCAGCCCCATGTGTTTCCACCTTCTGCTTGCATGCTCCCCAGGATGGGGAGTCCCTACCCCCTGAGGCAGGGCCTTTGCCTTCTGAGCACCTCCAAAACTGGACTGTGTTTCCTCCGATGCACAGAAATTTGTTTCCTTGTACTTTCCATTCTCTGGGCCCCTGACTTCCCCCCCACATAAGGATCCCTGCAGCGTATACTCATGTACCAAATATATTTTGATCGCTTGTTATGTGCCAGGCCCTGTGCCCTTAAGTATCTCAGAGTCCCGTGGGACAGAGACAAGATAAGATCTGAAATAAATGCTCCGAGATGCTGTGGAACCCAGAGAAGAGACGGGTAACTTTAGCTGGAGTGGGGAGGAGATCAGGGAAGACTGCCCAGAGGAAGAAACATTTGATCCCAGCTTTAAAACTTGGGTAGGATTAGAAGGCACGCAGGAGGCAGAAGGGTGTTCCAGGCAGAAGAACCAGGTGAGGCCAAGGCATAAAGGCATGAGAGGGCACAGCCTTTTAGGGAAATGGCCAGTAGTTTGCTGGGCCTGGAGGGGTGGCTTTTCATGGGAAGGGGCATAGGAAGACTAGAATTGTGAAGGGCATCAAATTCCGGACTGAAGAGTTCATATTTTAAATCTGAATTCTTTCCCACAGTCAGGGGGATGTGATCAGCTTGCTGGCTTAGAAAGCTCGCTCTGGAGACTGGCTTGGAGGAAAGCCAGGAGAGGCTGGGGTTTGGTCCAGGCCTCAGCTGACAGGCTGAGCTAAGGCAGGGCACCGGGGAGGGGCAGAGAGCAGAGGTGGAGATGGCCACGGGTGGGGTGCTATGGAAGAGAGACCAGGACGGCCTGTAGGGCTTCTGGGGAGCCCAGAACACAGACCACATTTCCCAGCCTCCACCTTCTTCCCCAGACCTATTCCCTTCTCCATTCCTGTGGCTCTAGCTTTGAACAGAAAGGAGAGACCAGCTGGTCCAACGTGAAGGGGCCTGGGGAGTTGGGGGGAGGGCGACACCCTGGAAGTTTCTCTCAGGCTGGAGGACCATCTGTTTCCTGGCCCGGGTCAGCATGAGGGAGGCCCTGGCCCAGCCAGCATCCATCACCACCTGACAGGCTGCCTGCCCACCTCCCCGCCCACTCCTGCCCCCTCCTCTGCCACCTCCCAAGGCCCCTTGCCGCAGATAACCACAGACAAAGGGCTCACCCAGCCCAGGGCTGCTGTGGGCCGAGTAGGGAAGGGGAGGGGAGGAAAGGAGGCCTCTGAATCCCAAAAACGTGGCATTGGGCAGTGTGGAAAGACTACGGCACAGTCTGGGGATGAGAGAACCTGGGTTCAACCTCACTCTGCCTCTTTGGCAACACGACCCAAAACCGTGACTGTTCCTTCCAGCCAGCACTAAATGCTCGTTGCCAAGGGCCTGAGAGGTTTTTGCAGGCCTAGGAAAATGCTGGAGGCCTAGAAAAAAAAAAAATTGGCTCTAAAGCACAGGGAAAAACTGCAGAATCAAAATTAATAAATGTTTAATTAAATATCTGCAAAACAGAACATGATATCAGCCAGTCGACTGCAATTTGGCTTTTATCTGGTTCTATATAATTTACATATGGTGTTTGATGTGGCTGCATTTTAATATGCTTGGTAGATGTGGGGCCCACAAAGGTTTTAAAACAGCCCTGCTCAGGACATGTAACCTAATTTCCCTGTGCCTCAGTTTTACCTTCTTTAAGAAGGGGCCAGCACTCCCCATCCTGCCTGTGTCACAGCCCCTGCAGTGAGGTTCAGAAAGGCAAGAGGGCAAAATGCTGGGCTTGCGGATTTGCTTCCCAGCCCCGACCTGGATGCTGTGCGGCCTTGGGTGGTCTCTTTGCCTCTCCGAGCCTCATTTTCCTCTTTATTGTGAGCATTGAATGAGGTGATGGGTTTGAAAATAATTTGTACACTAAGAGGGGTGTGCACATAGAGAGAGGGAACACATGCTAGGCGGAGGCCTCTGGCTCCTCCTGATCACCAAGCAGCCTCTCTTGAAACCTCCTCCAGGAAGCCCACCCTATTCCACTCTAGTTGAAGGGAATTTGGAAGAAGTTGATTTTCACCACAAATGGGACCAATACCACCCACAGAGAAGGATGTCTCATCTCAGAGAAAGGAATCCCCCTTGGGGGTGGGGGGGTGCATCTGGGTCTCTAACAAAAGGCATCCCCAGTCCATCCATTCTCTCCACCCTGTCCAGACCACCATCATCTTTTACCTTCTCGGTGGGCTCCCTGTATCCACTCCTGCCACCCTGTAGTCCATTCTCCAAGTGGCAACAGGCGGGATACTTTAAAAACCAGTCAGATCATGTCATTCCCCTTCTCAAAACCTTCCAAGGGCCTCCCATCACACTTGGAATAAAGCCCAAGGGTTTTCCCTTGGCTTGCAGGCCCTAAACCATCCGTCCCTGCTTGTTTCCTCCTCTCGTCTCGAGCCACTGCGTTATGTGTTGCCGGCACTCCAGCTGCCCTGGAGGTTCCTCAAACCCAGCCTAACGTTCCTGACTCAGGACCTTTGGACTTGCTACTTGCTCTGCCTGGAACGCCCTTTCTCCAACACCCAAGGCTAGTTCCTCAACGGCTGGGCAGCAGACTAGTTCCCAAGGCTAGTTCCTCAACGGCTCCCACGTCACCTTCTCAGAGCGGCCCCCCGGGGCACCCATCCCATGTTGCCCTCCGCCCTCACCAAACCACTCTCATTGGTCACACTGCCCCGTCGGATCTTCTTCGGAACATACTCCATCAAACACTCTTATTAATGTACACATTGATTTTCTGTTTTACCACTGCAGCTCTATGAGGGGAGGGACTCGGTCTGCCTTGGTCACCCCTGTCTCCTCAGCATCTGTATGTGTAGTAGGCACTCAATAAATATTTGTTGAATGAATTAAAGGTGAGAGAGTGTTTGCTTGTGTCTTTCCCCTGACCTTGGAGGCCCCGGGGCTCCTCTGCCTGAGTTTGCTTACTGCCAGGACACCTCGTGGGCGATTCCTGTCCTCACTGACTCATTGCTGGCCTTCCTCCTCCAGGAAGGCTTCCCTGATACTTCTTCGCCTGGTTGGGCCCCCCACAACACTGACTTCAACTGCCCGAGGCCAGTGTGAACCAGACCTAACAGGTTTACCACCACCCACTTTACAGTGTGGGAACAGATGCTCAGGGGTCTATTTTGGATCTAATTTGCTGACTGCCTGTCTTGTGCTCAG